GACTGGTAGATCTTTATGATTACTTGTACCTGTTGGTTATTGTTTGTGTATGTCGATATGGCATGATTGGGTTGAGACGGTACTGCTTTGTGTTGTAGGCCAACAAACTTGAGAGCGGTCTAACTTTATGTTGCAGGCTAGGGAGCGGTCCAGCTTTATGATGCAGGCTCTAGAACGGTCCAGTTACTCTAGGCCTTACGAGGCGGGCCAGTAGACTGTAGGCTTGGTAGAGCGGTCCAGGCATCATGTATGCCTTGTGAGACGATCCAGGAAAATTGTAGGCTTGTGTATGCGAATGCATTGTATATGTTTTGTGTGTGGGGTAATTTGGAGGGACTCACTAAGCTTCCTGCTTACAGTTTGATTTCATGGTTTCATGTACATCAGATAATTGGGGCAAGGCGAAGGCGTAATCGTACATATCCGCCTGGTGATATTTGTTTTTGAGAGATTTTGATACTCTTATTTTTATGGCTATGATTTGGAAATAGTGTTTTGTATAACTTACGGTTTACGAAAATGGTTTTGAAAAATGTAAATTTTTACTATGATTTTGGGATGTTTCAACGAAGAGGTTCTCATCTTCAAGATCTATCAGATCATCGTTAATGTCGATGTGTGTTTGTCCGTCCAATTGTTGGGAAGTTGCATCGGGTTTTCTTGAACGCTTTGAATCGCAAGACGTTTGTGAAGTTCCTTCGGTTTGCTCTTTCCATTTTGAAGCATCTTTCGATTTTAGCCACTATTTAAGATATGGAGAAGGCTTGCGGGTTGCCATTGTTTTTTCATATTACTTCAAGGCCGCCTTAAAAACATCGAAATCGCTTGGCCCGCTTTTGTGTAAGTTGTTAAGGTTGTTGTAAATTCCTCCAAATTCTATACATTTTAGCCTCAAGCCGCGCCACTTCGAGCTAATTTGGTCGGGATTTCCACTTTTACTTCCCATTAAATCTGTATCATTTGCGACTTTTGGCACCGATCGTTATTTACTAAAAGTGACAAACATCGAATATAATCGACTTAATACGTAATATATATCAGTATATGATAAAAATATAAATTTTGTATTAAGATAAATAGGAAAGATCAACCGAATCATCCGTAAGTCGTAAAAATTAGTGTGCTGAAACATATATATATATATATATATATATATATATATATATATATATATATATATTACATTAGAAAGTACGTATCATCCCGATCCCGAAAATATAAATTTCGTAGAAATCCGAGTTTATATGTGAAGGAAATATGAATTTTATAAGATATATAAATCAATCACGTAATTTAAAATTATTAACGTCAAAAGCTACAAAAAGAATGATTGACTTTTGGGTAAAGTCACCAAAAGGAAAATCGTAGTAGTCTTTAAGATAGAAATTTTGGCAAAAGAAACGCCAAATTCAGAGTCCGTACGAGAGTGTTTGTATTTTTGCAAAATCATTAAATCAAATAAAAATAAGGGCTAAAAATAAATTCAGAATTAGTCAATGCAACATAAGGGAAAGTTGTAGTACTCGTCGATAGCTACGCGTAGATAAAAATCATCAAAAACATAACTCGTATGAGGAAGATAAAAATTTTACAAAAATTACGTTTCGCACGGCGCGCTTATGCACTTTGCGCGACGTGCAACCTTTTTAGCCTATAAATGGCCGCTCCTGCCTTATTTATTTTTAGCATTTAAACTTTTCCCACGAGCCCGGTTAATCTCGACCCCCGACGCCACCAAGCCGCAGTCCTAGGGTCTAGTAAAGCACGCTACGAGTGTGAGTTCACGGCCCCTTTTTCCAACATTTTATAAAATATTGGGGGGGAGGGGGGGGGGGAGGAATACATGTTAATTATTTACCATTTGTTATATACTGTTACTATCATTATGTTAAAAATATTATTTTTTACAAAAACATATTTATGTCGTTACTCTATCCGCATAAATAGACAATTACTTTACTATGTTGTTACTCTGTCCGTATAAATATTAATAATTATTACACGTCGTCGTTACTCTGTCCGTATAATATCAATAATTATTATGTGACTCCGTTACTCTGTCTAGTATAAATATAAATAATTATTATGCATCGTCGTTACTCTACCCGTATAAATATCAATAATTATTATACACCATCGTTACTTTTCCCGTATAAATAGTGATAATTATTATACGTCGCCATTACTCTCCTCGTATAAATATAAAAAATTATTATATGTCGCCGTTACTCTGGATGTATAAATATCAATAATTATTATATGTCACCGTTACTCTGGATATATAATTAGTGATAATTATTATACGTCGTCGTTACTCTGCCCATATAAATAGTGATAATTATTATACGTTGTTGTTACCCTGCCTGTATAAATATCAACAATTATTATACGTTGTTGTTGCTCTGTTCGTATAAATAGTGATAACTATTTTACATCGCCGTCACTCTACCCATATAAATAGTGATTATTAGTATACATCGTCGTTACTCTGTCCGTATAAATATATATACGTCGTCGTTATTCTGGCCAAACCTCCCGGGAAACTTTGTATCTGGTCGTAGCGCTTGCCAAATTTAGGATAAGACATTGTACCTAGTTGTTACTCTGTCCTAGTACTAGTATCCTGGTTATGGAAGAAAACATATAGATAGTCAATATACTTAACTGTACCATAATCTATCAAAGATATCAAAGCACATATAATATATATATATATATATATATATATATATATATATATATATATATATATATATATATATATATATATATATATATAAGATTAAGTATATATAGGGATAATTATAGAAAGAAATTATATTACGTAATCACTACTCACGTATATATAGGGATAATTATTGTACCTAGTCGTAGCGCTTGCCAAATTTAGGATAAGAAATTGTACCTAGTTGTTACTCTGTCCTAGTACTAGGATTATGGTTATGGAAGAAAACATATGGATAGTCAATATACTTAACTGTACCATAATCTATCAAAGATATCAAAGCACAAATAATTATTATATATATAAGATTAAGTATATATAGGGATAATTATAGAAAGAAATTATATTACGTAATCACTACTCACGTATATTGGTTAGACATTATGTCACAATTCCACCAATTTGGATTTATTAAAAATATCTATTGATGGTATTCCCAATTTAATCTTGCATACGAAAGATCCATCTCACTCTAAATAGAAGCATTGATCTTCACGAGCACACTTCTAGAATAAAAGTATAATCTCTCTAATTAGAAACATTGCTTTACATGAGCATACTTATGGGATAAAAAGTATAATTACTCTAAAAAATAGAAGAATCCAAAATCATACTTGTGGAATATAAAGTATAATGTGTCTATGAGATAATAATATTACCGATAAGATTATATTATACTCCATTTGATCGGGAAAAACCTAAAAAGAATGGTAATATGTGATAAAAAGTAAAGCATCGAAATTTTAGAGTCTAGAAATAGTAAAATACTATTAGGAGATACCTTAACAATGTCGATCAAAATACTTTTACAAATTAACAAGGTTATAAAAAAAAGTATTTTCAAAGATATAACACTCAAACTTGTGAACTCACCAACATTATGTTGATGTTTTAAAAACTGCATGTATTCCTAGGAAACTGCGAGATGGAAGATTGCACCTTCGAAAGCAGCGGTTAATCGACGAAGCTACCGACGACTTATTATCGTTATAATTATGTCTACCTATTAAGGCACATTATGTATTAGAACTTCTAGTATTTTAGAAGTACGCTTTTATGTAATTTATTTATCCATAATGGAAGTGATATTCATGTTTTATATTGTTTTGTATTGTTCAATGTATGTTCAAAGACTGCGATCCAATTATTCCTACGTCGCACAACCCGACATTTTCGTCGCCTGCCGGGGTTGTGACAAAATTGTAGAACACGCTTCAGACTTTCTCACAAAAACAATTAAAGGTTTGATTATCTCATTCGATTGGGTCTTGTGAAGCTGATACCCACACCTCTGCTAACCTCTCTTTTTCCTCTTTTTTCCATTGCACCCTAAACGGTTGTATTGGTTCAAACAAGTTTTTTTACCTTTTTTTGTTGTTGGGGGTGGTGGTGAAGGTTGTGTACTTGTGTTTCCGATACAAAATATGCAAATGAGGGGATTATGAAGATTGTGGTTGTGATGGTTGTGGTTGTGAAGGTTGTGGTTGGAAAGGTTGTTGGTATATGAAACCGGATTGAAATTGTTGTTGATAGGGTGATAAATGTTGATATTGTTGTTAGAAAAGTTGTGTTTGTTGGATAGGGGAACTGGTTTGGAGCATATTCATAAAACCACCTAGAGGTTATTCAATGTTCGGATATTGGCGGGAGCTGTATCTAACGCAAAAGCATTATCGTGTTTGCAGTTTTGATAGTTGGGGGGGGGGGGGGTAATTTGATTGAGATCCATGGTTTTCATTGCAAAAAAAGTTGTGTATGTAATGTAAATAGAGAAACAGAAGATTGTGTAAAAAAAAATAATGTTGTTTATTGTAGTATATATAAGGAAACGGTTGTTTTTTTTTTTTTTTTTGAAAAAATACTTTTTCAAAAAATGTCATTGAAAGTAAAAGGTCAAATGCATGAAACGACACCTTATTGGCCGTTGTTACTCGTTGATCACACCACAGTTGTCCACGATCGCGACCGACAACGAAGCACCGCGATAGTGTTCGTAGCCGTGGTTTGTGGCCACGTCAACCACGAGACCCATCGTGATACTCATTTGCAAATGGTCTAATGTATCTTACAAGTATTTTATATGGGCTTTGTTATTATTATTATTATTTATTTATTTTTATTTTTTCTAAAAAGAAAAATAAAAAAACTAGAAACTTATTGGGTCTTTTTACTCGAAACAAAATTGATTCCATTGTGTTTATAAATAGAAAGTAATCACAAAGTCAAAAGGTATGTCTGTATGACAATTGAAGTGGAAGCGTCTCATCGTCGTCATTGTAGTTTCTTTTTCGGAGCGAAGGAAATCCAGTTTACTCCAGTTGACATGAATTGGTGCGAACTCCATGGCTATGGCTTTCACCGATTGCTTTATCCGCCTATAAAAATGGCTTCCCTTTCATTTCCATAAACCATCTCAATCATCCTTTCCATCTTCGACCACAAAAACTAGAAAGGAAGATCATCCATATCGTTTGAACATGGGGAAGTCATTCATTTTGGTGGCTTTCCTACTCATACTCGTCTCTATCGGAGCAACCACGGTTGGAGCTGATGACAAAAAGCCCGACGACACTAAGAAGACTCCGGCTGCACCGGCACCCGCCCCTAAGTACCAGAAACCAGCGCCGGCCCCCACCCCCAAGGAGGAGAAACCTAAGCCGGCTCCGGCCCCCAAGGAGGAGAAGCCAAAACCAGCACCGGCTCCCAAGGAGGAGAAACCAAAGCCTTCTCCTGTCGACGACGATACCACGAACTACGACGATGAGACACCAGACCCAAAAACAGGAAGCGAACGGGCTAAGTGTAAATCGAAAGGGGCTTGTAATAAGAAGACACTAACTTGTCCGGCAGAGTGCCCGGAGAGGAAGCCCAAAAAGAACAAGAAGAACAAAGGTTGCTTCATCCATTGTGGTAGCAAGTGTGAAGCTACTTGCAAATGTATGTACTCCACCTGTTCGATAAATTGCTTCTTTGAATACCTAATCATCTACACTCTTCTTTCTAACTAATTTGCAATTGAATGACAGGGAGGAGGCCACAATGTAACGGATATGGCTCTCTATGTTACGATCCCAGGTTCGTCGGAGGTGATGGAGTAATGTTCTACTTCCATGGCGGAAAAGGACGTGATTTCGCTCTCGTCTCCGACACCAACCTCCAAATCAACGCCCACTTCATCGGAAACCGCCCAAATGGCCGGAAACGTGACTACACATGGGTCCAGTCCATCTCTATCATGTTCGACACCGACATCCTCGTTCTCTCAGCCAAGAAAGTTCAACAATGGGACGACTCCGTCGACGTGCTTCTCGTAAAATGGAACGGTCAACAAGTCAACGTCCCCTTCACCGGAGACGCAGAATGGAAAACCAACACCGGAGTAAGAGAAGTGTCGGTGGAAAGAACCGACGACACCAACACTGTTAGAGTTACAGTCGGCGGACTGGTTGAAATCGACATGAAAGCTGTTCCTGTGACTAAAGAAGACGAAAAAGCTCACAACTACCAGTTACCATCAAATGACGCTTTTGCCCATTTCGAGACACAATTCAGATTCTCAAATCTCTCAGACAACGTCGAGGGTATTTTGGGAAAAACCTACAGACCAGGGTATGTTAGCCCGGTGAAGAGAGGGATCGCAATGCCATTAATGGGTGGAGAAGACAAATACGAAACTCCATCTTTAACTTCACCTCGTTGCAAACTCTGCATATTTCAGTCAAATTACGAGTCTGCCCCTCCTGCTACCGGTTTATTTCAATACTAAATTACAAATCAATTATTGTAATTTCTTGAAATTTGTCAAATAAAGGTCATAAAATTATGGCTCTTGAATTTCTTTATTACCCAAATAAAATGGTTTTAAACTTCTATTCTATGATTTATAATTATAATTATATTCGTGTTTTTCATTCACACGATGCTTCTACCGCTAAACTTTTAACTACATTTACATAATTAAACTTAAACGAACAATATAAACAAATGTTCACGAACATAAATGAACAAAAAGAAACAAAAAGGGACAATTGTTTATGTTCGTTCGTTTAACTAAATGAACAAGAATTTATGTTCATGTTCGTTCATTTATTAAAAAAAACGAACTTCCCGCCAAACGGTTCACGAATGGTTCGCTGAACGTCCAAATCGTTTAGAGTCCCACATGTGAACATAAACTTTGAAACATTTGTGTTGTAAAAGATATTTTTTTTGTGTTGTAAAAGATATTTTTGTAGGGACACCACCAATTTCTTCAAACAACACAATTAGATTTCCACTTGGTTGTCACCGTGATCGAGGTACATGGTACTTACAAGATTATACCAATTAAATTAATGGTTGTTATTACCATACTTTTCGCATTTAATGTCAACGTCACATCATTTACCCTTAACCTACAAAATTGGTCACATCATTTACCCTTAACCTACAAAATTGGTAGGTGTAATACCACATCTTACCACACTTTTCATTTTTTTAATTAAATAAAATGTATTTTAATAAAATATAATTATATAAAATTAATAGAAGAAAAGTACTTCATTAATTAAAAAAAATGCATACTAAATTAAAAACATAATCGAAAAATAGTAGAATAGTACGTTACGCCTAATCATCGACGCTCGCAACGTTATCATAATCTTCACCTGAATCATCTTCAAACAGGTCTGATACGTCATATGTATCGTCGAACAACTTATATTCAAAATCGACGACAATAGGATTCAATTGAGCATTGAAGATTTGTTCCACCAAATCAACGCGAATGTTGTGGTGTCCAACTCGGTCATATAATTCCCCTCTGTTCGCCATGTACGTCTGTAATGTCCCAAAAATCCATGGAAAAATTTTCATTTTTAAAACATTAATTCATACCACATTCTATTCCCAAAATCATTCAAGATGGAAAATAGTATTTAAACATCAGAGTAAAAATCATGACTAACCAAATGCGGAATAAACTATGGGGGATGTTGTGTAGTCACGTCGGACCCTTCCATTTCAAACTGGAAGTACCTGAAACCATAAACATGAAACTGTAAGCACAAAGCTTAGTGAGTTCCCCAAAATACCACATACCATACATATATCATAGGGCCTATCCCGCACATTGAGCCCAACCCATAATAATGGGCATATCCCTTCCTAGTCAACGGGCCCACCCTAACATATAATTGGGCCTAGCCCGTCATACAAAGGGAACAACCCAACATAAAATGGGCACAAACCACTCATGCAGTTGGCCCCAGCCCTACATGCATGCCATTGGGCCCAGCCCATCATACAATGCAAAAGTCACAAAGACAACTAGCATCCTACATAACATATCCTAGTGGGCTGACATTGGTGCCTTCGACCTACGGGTACAGTGAGGAGACTCACCTCAAATCGAAATAACCAAATCACACACGCGCTGCTGCTACCGGGCTCTTCACACTGAACATATCCAAAACCATCCCTACTAAAAAAAATAGGGTTATAACCCAAAATCAAGTTCCATGTAACGCCCTGTTCCGAATCAATTCCTAATTCGCGGCTGTGGCCCGAAGAGCGGTCATCATAAGGATTGGGGCCTTTAAAAAGGTAAGATTTAGGCCTATTTGGATGTGGGTAACGTAGATATGTGACCCAATAGTTCAGTTTTCACGTTGGAGTCAAATGGTAAAATGGGAATGTAGTGTTTCAGACTTCTTTTATGAATTATGGATTTTAGTTCAATGTGTTTTAAGTCAAAATTAATTAGATAGGGTTGTAGAGATCCTCAATACCTTTCCGTAGATATAAAGAACGTCAAAAACGGAGTTAGAACGAAGAAGTTATGACTGTTTGAAGTTTGGGTGGTTTTGGATGTTATGAGCTTTTGGTCATTTTTGTGCATAAAGTTTATATCTTGAAAGTTTGTGACCTTGTTATGGATAAAGTTGGAAACTTTATCCATCTAAACATCATTGTGATTCAGATCTGAAAGTTGGAGACTTGGACTTAATGGATTAACTTGAAAAAGATGCACTTTTGGTCCCATTTGATGCTTAAACGCTAGATCTTAGTGGTTTGGACCATTCTAACGGATAAAGTTGGAAACTTTATCCATTATGGAGCTTTTAGGATCCATAAAAATGTAATCTTGATCCTTCTATACCTTCCATGAGAGTGTCATGATGTCTTAATGGATTGATAAGTTAAGGTTTTAGCTTTTGGACCTTTTCTAGACATGGAAAGTCATAAAGGTGGAAACTTTATGACTTAGAATGATGTTGTGGGACTAGATCTGAGTGTTGGATGAAAGGAATTAAGAGATTAAGCACTTAATGGAAAAGTGTCATTTGGCCGGCGTACCTTCGAGTATGATGCGCGTACTCGTATGGGGTCCCGATTCTGGTTGGTAAGTACGCCATGTGTACGAGCTGAGTATGCTGGGCCTACTCAGCCTGAAGTTTAACTTGTTGACTTTGACTTCCGTTGACCATTGACTTTTGACCAAGTTTGACCTTGGGGCCAAACTTGAGGGTTTTGGCCTATTAACTAAGATTTTATTTGGTTCTAGTATTGATAGCTCGGGAAGTCGGCAGGGGCAGCAGCTAGGGATTCTTCCAGGAAGCTTCTGCAATCGAGGTGAGTTTTCCTCATTATACTCAAGGGTCGAAGGCTCCAAGGCCGGCCCTTTGGATTGTTATCCTGCTTTATTACTATTGTGATCTGTTAGATCGGTATCCTGGTAGATAGGATGTTTCTATGTGGTTATGATCTGTTAGATCGGTATCCTGGTAGATAGGATGTTGTTATGCTTAGTAATCTGTAGATCGGTTTGACTGCCTGTAGACTGTTATGTGATTATCTAATATATGTACATATGTTTGATTGGTGGTTGAGGCTTTTCTGCTTTGTGCATGAGCCAACAAACCGGGGTATTCCAACCCGATGGTTGTGGGCCGAGAATATTCCATCCCGAGGATGATTGAACTCATAGTATGTGGGCATTCCAACCTGATGGTTGTGGGCCGAGAGTATTCCATCCCGATGATGATTGGACTCATAGTATGTAGGCATTCCAACCCGATGGTTGTGGGCCGAGGTTATACCATCCCGAGGATGATTGGACCCATAGTATGTTGGCATTCCAACCCGATGGTTGAGGGCCTGGGGCATTCCAACCCGATGGTTGATTGGGCCCATAATATGCTGTTATTATATGTGTGTTATTGTTGTGCGAGGATTTTGGGGGAACTCACTAAGATTCGTGCTTACGGTTTCAGTTTATTGTTTCAGGTGATCCGGATGTTTTTGGCAAGGAAAACGTGTGACCGTACACATCCTTGGTTTTACAACTGATTGGATCTTGGGAGACTTTGATTTTAAATCATGTTTTGGAAACAATGGTTGTAAACACTTCTATTAATAAATGGGTTGTTTTGAAAAGTTTAAATTTTGTTGATATTTTTGGGATGTTACAAGTTGCTATCAGAGCCTTGGTTTGAGTGAATTGGAGGAACATTCGTGTGAATCCAGTCTCAAACTAAGGAAAAGGGTTTTTAAAACAATATTCAGAGATTTTCAAAATTATTTTAAATATTTTTCAAAAATACTTAAGGAGGATGCGATGTGTACGATCAGCTGGAGCCAGTAAGTAGACCCCAAAATACCATACTGTTATTTTGATATTGTGATATGTTAGAATAGCATGCTAGTGATAGGCTAGGGATCTTCAGGAATTACTTGATAGAATTGTCTAATTATGTGATGCCTTAGTTCCTATAGAGTTCCCTTGTTTGGCTGTTGTGTGACTCTTTCGCGTGTGAATTGACTATTGAGTGGATACGCTAAGTCACATGCTACATGGTTTAAAGGATCTTAGGCTGTGGAGTTTGGCCCTGCTTCGCAACTCTCGTCTGAGTCCAACTGTTGTGGGATTAAATCTTTTAGCTTAAGATTGTTTAAATTATGAGGCATGTGGCTGTATTCATGCGATAGTCTTCTGGAACCAATGGAGAGTCATGTGGCAAGTGTAGTATGGATGAGTCGTGTGTGGTCAGTTGGCCACTCGCGTTATTAGATGAGGTAGTGGTGGTTTCCCTGGTTGGACGCGGTTCATATCAGGTCGGCATGAGGAACGATTAGCCACTCTTGAGCGAGTGTGGGCAGGGCGAAGATGCTCGCGATATGCTGGGAGTCTGAGGTCGAGTATTTCATAGGAGGATATATCTGATTTTATTGCATCTTAGTGCTAGTCAGCTTCTCTGCTCGAATGCTGCTTGCTTTGTGCTTTGTGGGACCCATGTTGATGAGAGTTAACCATCAAATGAATACATTAAATTACATTCTATAAGGGTTAAATAATCTTAGGATAAAGGACTTGTACCTATTGTGCAGCTCTCGTCTAAGTCCAACCATTGTAGGGTTGGGTCCTTTTGCCGAAGGATTATTTAAGCGGGGTTGCATGTAATTGTATTCATGAATTGGTTAACTGGCATTGGTAGGGGTTCTTCAGCAGTTGATGGCAGAGGAGGTATGGTGAGTCCTAGGATAACCTAGGGAGTATTTAGTGTGTTTGTTTCGCCAAGGAGCAGGTTTCAAGAGTATTTTGTGACTAGGACTTAGAGGACCCGAGAAAATTCTTGAGGAAAGTATGGATAGGTGTGGAAAGTAGTATTGGGCCCGTACTACTGAAAGAACAGGATCCATACTTGAATCAAGGAAAATCTTGGGGATGATAAGGCTGGTCAGGAGGATACTGTGGATTGTGGCAGTGATTCTATTACTGACAATCTTTTGGTTGTGGCTATTCGGGCATAAGGATGGACCTGGTATGTGTTTTGAGCCCGGTGGCATTATGGAATCGGCCGGTTGTTTGGTGCAGACCTGGCGA